CGGATCAATAACCGGATCAACAACGTGATCACTAACCTGATCAATAACCGGATCAACAACGTGATCAATAACCGGATCAATAACCCGATCATTAACCCGATCAATAACCCGATCAATAACCCGATCACTAACCCGATCACTAACCGGATCAATAACCGGATCAATAACCCGATCATTAACCCGATCATTAACCCGATCAATAACCCGATCAATAACCCGATCACTATCCCGATCATTAACCCGATCACTAACCCGATCAATAACCCGATCAATAACCTCTATTCTCACTAAGCTATCCTCGAGCTGCATAGATGATGACATTTCTTTTTTTTGTGCTTTGATGACATCAGAGAGATCAATAATCAATCACCATGTCGGACTGTTGATGTGTGTTTGTGTTCAGAGCTGTGAGGACTCTGATTGGATGGAACCGACTAGGGGGAGGGGCTCTGTTTTAAAGACACATCGACCTCATTACTATATTCATAATAATCCTGCTACACGGTTCATGAACTCATAATCCACTCACAATATGATGTTTACATGAACCACATCTAGTACAGAGTATATATTCATATATATGAGAATGATATAAACCTGCTCCTTTAAGACAGAAACAGATTATTATTATTAACATGAACACTTTATTAATGTGTGAATATGAGTTTACATCACAAACTATAGAACACAAATATGAACATGACAACAGTCATAATTAATAAGTGTAACAATAAGAGTAAATATAGAAACAGTGTGTGTGTGTGTGTGTGTGTATCGGTCTGCTTTCTGTTAGCAGCCTTGCTGTGACAGATGGGGGGGGGGGTCCAAAGATCTCTTTCATTGACAAAGTGACGCCCCCCTCCCCCTCATTTGTTTCCTCCCCTGGTCTCCCTCGAGGACCGGAGGAATGACTCCCTCTGTTCAGGGATGGGGGGCCCAGTCTGGTCTGGTATGGGGTGGGGAGGGGGGGACAGATGTTGTCTGGACGACAAAACCGTCTCCGATCTGGTGCTTCTGTGATCAGCTGTTAAACAGCGTGCACGTGAGCACGCCCAGCCTGATGTGGGGTCCTTAAGGGGACTATCAGGGGGGTCCACGGGGCTCTGAAAGGGTTTAAGGGGTTCCAGGGTTTCTTTGGTGGGTTCTAAGTTCTTGAAGGGGTTCCAGGAACACATATCACAGGAATATCACAAAGCCCGCTGTTGGGGATTTACCCTCGGGCAAAAAGCCCACAGTATAATCTGACTCCAAAAGACTACACCTTCAGAAGGACCCCGCGCAGATCGTTTGATTGGAATTACATTCGAAATGAACAGAAGACGGTAGATGATCTATAAGTATTAACAATTTATTAAGTCAAGCATCAAAGCATAAAAAACATAGATCTATGGTTTCACAAAACACAAGAATTGATAAAGTATCCCTAGCAACAGAAAGCCAGGGCTCGGTCCACGCATCTCTCCCCGGTGTTTTGTGAGCCCCGCCTAATCCTTTCCCTGTTTCTTTATTCATTCTCATGAGGAGTTGACCTTGTCCTGCACAGGGACGAGTTATTTTCACACACGCCAGGGTTGGGGCCGCTGTGTCTGTGGGAGTCCAGTCGTTCTCAGGGATAGCGAAGAAGCTGTTCCTGCTTTCCACCTGTTGTTGCTACATATCTCACGGACTAACCCGCTTCACAACACATCTAGTTACGAGTTTAAGCTAAACCACCTGTGTGTCAGAGCTTCTTCTTTGTACGGGAAGCGCGTGCGTGCCTCACCCGGAGATTCAAACCTTTGCTCGATGACACACGCAACACTATTGCAAATGAGCACACACACAATACTTATACGTTTAATGCCTGTAAATACCGTTAGCATATTTCTACATCGTTAATGATATGGATCTATATGTGTGTGTGAGAAGAGTTCCCATGGCTTTGCATCTCATGTGTTGCCCTCTGATCTCAGTAACATATGCACACATACACACAGGCATCTGGCAGACCGTGTGTGTGTGTGTGTGTGACCCCTGACCGTCATGTCTGGAACGCACAAAGGCTGTTAAAAATGCCGGTGAGGTCACACACACTCTGAGTGATTTGCATTTCACACACACACACACGTCGGTCTGATGGAGTCAGGAGGTCAGAGGTCACAGACTATAGACATGTTAATGTGTGAGACGGGATCATGTGACGTCGCTGCTCTTCATAACTAAACTGCAGCTGTCTCTGTTTCTAACAGACGATGGGGTCAGAGGTCATGAGAACTCTGGTTTATATGAAGACGTCCTAGGATACTGGATCAGGTCTCTGAGTCACTCTGAGACCTGATTCATCCTGGTTTCTACTGAGCATGTGCAGACCAGAACTACACACCTGTAGTGGAACTTTCATGCATGTTTGTTACCTGATGATGTTACAATGTGAGCAGGAGGAGAGCTAGCAACGTTAGCTGTAGCATTGAGTTATGTTATGATGCGTTCAGGGTCTATTCAGTAAATATGTGTATTGTGTTGAAGGTAAAAATATCATAATAGTTTAGTTTCTGGTGTGGTTTAGTTTATTGGTGTAGTTTAGTTTACTGGTGTAGTTTAGTTTCTGGTGTGGTTTAGTTTACTGGTGTAGTTTAGGTTCTGGTGTAGTTTAGTTTACTGGTGTAGTTTAGTTTATTGGTGTGGTTTAGTTACTGATGTAGTTTAGTTTACTGGTGTAGTTTAGTTTATTGGTGTAGTTTAGTTTACTGGTGTAGTTTAGTTTACTGGTGTAGTTTAGGTTCTGGTGTAGTTTAGTTTAGTTTCTGGTGTGGTTTAGTTTCTGGTGTGGTTTAGTTTCTGGTGTGGTTTAGTTTACTGATGTAGTTTAGTTTACTGGTGTAGTTTAGTTTATTGGTGTGGTTTAGTTTAGTTTCTGGTGTAGTTTAGTTTACTGGTGTAGTTTAGTTTCTGGTGTGGTTTAGTTTAGTTTCTGGTGTAGTTTAGTTTATTGGTGTGGTTTAGTTTAGTTTCTGGTTTAGTTTAGTTTCTGGTGTGGTTTAGTTTACTGGTGTAGTTTAGTTTCTGGTGTGGTTTAGTTTATTGGTGTCGTTTAGTTTATTGGTGTCGTTTAGTTTATTGGTGTGGTTTAGTTTAT